GGGTAGCATTTTTAGTGTTGTAAAATATGCTAAAGACATAAACTCTCCTAGCGCTGCTTTTTCCAACCTTCGATAACATTTTAGGAATTTCTGCACCAAAGCACTGTGCAGAGATACTGCTTGTTGTTGCTAACAGTTACCACATTGTCTCTTACAGAAGGGAGAAAGAAAACAAAGGTATTTTACTAATGGATACTCACCGAGTACTTGCTGTTTTCTTTCCCAAAATGTTATTGATTTTCCAAACATACATATTACAATGCTAACAGAGAGGTTAGTAAGCTGATGCAGCAGCCAATAGCAGTCAAACATGGGTGTGCAATGTCCAGAACATGTTAAACCCTGTATACGTGAAGCAAGGGGTGAGGTCAGTGTTAAACAGGGCACCCATTGAACCAGCCACCAGCTGCCCAAGCCACTATGCAGCTTTGGGGCAAATACTGAGAGGTATATACCTACTAGCCTACAAGACAGACACTATTTTTTGGGAGGGGGCTCCTTCAAAAAGCCACTACTAAGCTAAGGGGAGGGGGGATAACCGGAGTAAAGGCGAGGTGCGGATGTAAGTGAGAGATGAAAATCAGAAAGGAGGAAGAATAAAGAAGGAAAAGCTTGCTTGCTGTTTTCAAGCACTTTAGGTGCCATACTTGCATGTAAGATACAAAGACCTGACAACAGTTGGCGCTGCTGTCCTTGGGTATAGGTGACGTATCCAAGTAAGAAGGAAATCAAGATGATAGGAGGAGATCTAGTCTCATAGCTTGACCTAGTCCTTTGTGGCAGTTTATTCCAACCAGTTAGGAAGTTGACCAAATAGGCCATGAAAGATTAAATACTTCACCAGACCCAAGTTTCTTCTACAGGTTCTGATAGTATAATGTACCTGGCTACAAACTTACAAGTCCAGGGAGCATATCTAAATACAGAATAGAAAAAAAATCCTTAGCACTCAGCCTTGGTAACCAGCAAAACAAATTTTGTATTTAGCTAAATGCTTGTCTTGTTATGCATCGCCCTAGTTGGTTATACTGTATTGTGATTCTGTCAGTACCATTTCATTATTGGAGCAGCAAAAAACAGATGACAGGACAACATCATCAGCAGTAGTAGGTGATGATGAGTTGTTTGCAACGGGAACAAGACTGATGAAGGGGTAAATGAATTTGTTATTCTCACCTGTGTCCTTATTTTGTAGACTGTGATGGCATGCCACATGCTGTAGGTGAGTAAAGCTCCCGAATAGCCCTTAGCCCTCACCTATGTATTTTGCATGGAGATAACCTATGGAAATGTGCAAAAATGTACAAATTGTGGTTCCTGTACAATATAATTGTGTTGTTATCATCTGTTCTCTGTTCCAGAAGCAGATGCATCATACGCGTACATTAGTAGGGTAGTAGGGAATGTAACAGGAACTTTGGTATCAAGTGTTTTTTGCCCACCATAACCGTAACAACTATTGAGTTGGCTATTGATGCCTTGAACAAGCCCTAGACAAGAAGAATGGGTGGATAGGAATTATCCACCCATTGGAATTACCCCTGATCAAAAGTCTGCATACCCTTAGTACTTAATACTGAGTATTGCCCCCTTTAGCATCAATGACAGCGTGCAGTGTTTTGTAAGAGTTGACTATGAGGTTCCGATTTCTTGGTATAGTTAGCCATTCGTCTTGGCAAAATGTCTCTAGGTCATGCAAAGTCTTTGGTCGTCTTGCATGAACCGCACGTTTGAGATCTCTCCAGAGTGGCTCGATGATATTAAAGTACAATTAAAACTGCGGGTGTTTTTTTTTGCATATATGTACTGCTAGCAACATTTAATTGCCATTTTAACCTGTGTGTGTCACCTTGTGTGTCTGTAACAAAGCCAAACATTCCAGGGTATGTAAACTTTTGATCAGGGCCATTTGGGTGATTTCTGTTATCATGATGATTTAAAAAGGAGTCAAAAAACTATGTGATAATAAATGGCTTCACATGATAACTATCCTTAAATAAAAGACAGCTTACGAGCGCTGACTGACGAATCCCTTGCTGTTTGCATTGTATTCTGATAGTGGCTGCTGTCAGAATACAATGCAAGCAGCAAAGGATTCGTCCGAGAATTTTCAAACGAGCTCCTTCGATCAGCTGATGCAGATTTTGGCTGGTTCATAATGAACCAGATGAAATTCGTCCCATTTATACCCTACTTCATACTCCGAAAACTTCAACTGAATACGCCTTCTTCTGGATCAACAGTCCATTCAATCCATGGGACATTAATGTGCACATACAGGCAGCGCTGCACTAGATTTGGCCAGACAGGATGTAAACAATGAAGGAGGCCGTCAGAGGATCTAAGGAAGCACCTGGATTGGGGGATAGTTAGGATACTTTAGGCACTGGAAGGGTTTACGTAAAGGCAAACCTGTCCTTTATCTTTTGCCTCTAGACTCATTTAGACAGTTGTTGTCAAATGTAACACAATATGAATGCAAAAGGCTGCAACTCGCCTGTTTGCTGGCAGTGCAAACGCATCTCAGTAGAACCTGTAAATATAAATGGGAATCTGTAGACTTGCTTTTGGTTGGCCTTTCAGATACAAACACCTATCTACATAAGTGCTAGGTGTGTGATAGTAGCAATGGCAGAAACCAGAAGGAAAAGTGACTGAAGAATTACTGACAGCAAAGTGTAGTGAGCAATTAGCAAATTCACTGTCTATGACTGTGGTGAATCATGATGATGTATGGGACACCGGCTGGCAGGTTCCAATGTACAGGCAGTCCCCGAGTTACATACACCCGACTTACATACGACTCCCACTTACAAACGGAGGCTATTACTGTACTGCAAAGGTAGTTGTAATGCTACCGCGCTCCACTACAACCCAAAATTTTCAAAATCCAATTGTCACAGGGACAGAAAGTGAGGTGAAATCTTCTGAACAGGGGCACACACAGCAAAACAAACTTTACAGGGGGTTAACCTTTTCCTATGCTATCCAATACAAAAACAAAAATTTTTTTTGGCTGGAGTCACACTTAAAAAATGTACCTGTTCCAAAATACATACAAATTCAACTTAAGAACAAACCTACAGTCCCTATCTTGTTCGTAACCCGGGGACTGCCTGTGTACTATTTTCTTTCTCATACTAATACATGTATGATGACTCAGCTGGGGTAAAGAAAAGCAGGCAGGAGAGCTTTCAAGCTCACCACCAAACATGTTCGTATTCATGTATTAACTGAATTGTAAAATGTAAGGTCATCGATTGAATAAATTTATGCTATAGCCAGGGGCGTAACTAGAAATCACAGGGACCCATAGCAAAATTTTGTATGGGGCCCCGTGATTGCTAGTTATGCCACTTGCAGAGCCCACCGGAGAGTGACCCTGCAGAGCCCACCATAGACTCTCTATAGTGGGCTCTGCAGGGTCTGAGATCTCCTCCCTGTCAGCGCTGTCTGCCTCTGCTATCGACGGGCCCTGCCTCCTCTTGCATCACTGGCCCCACCTGCTCTTAGGTCGCTGGCCAGTGATGTAAGAGGAGGCGGTGTTGCTCTTAGGCGGGCCCCACCTCCTTTTTGAACACCACTCTCATCTGCCGCAGCGGCTGGCTGTCACTGACACAGCTCCGCAGCGGCTTTGAGGGGAAATGCGCCGCGGCCGCTGCTGAGCTGTGTCAGTGACAGCCAGCACCCTTACATGCCATAGCGGCCCTGGCCGGGCCCCCCCTTGTTACACCACTGGCTATAGCTCCTGCACTGTCATTGCGAATTGATTTAATTGTGACTTCCAATCAGTTCACAAAGTCCAGTAGAAATTGTAGAAAAGTAGAAAAAAGTAGAAAAGTCAGTCATTGGAGCTCCAATTTATTGACCCCTTTTTTGAAGATACTAGTTGCCTGACTGCTATGCCAATCTAGTGTCTACAGTACCCTCACTGAACCCAAATAAGTATGCAACTAAGGAGTTTTGACCTTACTCAGACTTCGCTTGATGAATATTATATTCAGATCTGTGACTCAGATGATGCTGAAACCAGAGACGGCCAGCGAACAATCATTCTCAAAAGAAAGTCCATACTAGCAGCAGCCTTATTTTTCCTAGTACAGGTTTTCTTTATTGTTATATACATTTTAAAAGGATTACTTTATGACCTGGTCTTCTCCATGAATAATATGAACAATTTATGTTACATAAGAAAGCAGTTAAACAGTGAGTTTAACATATTATAGTAAGAGGCAAATATCCATTGGAAGCACAAACCAAGAACTAGAAATTATACTACAGTGTTAGTGATGTCATATATTTTAGTCAGAAGTGACCACATAGGATGCTATAAATAAGCATTAATGGGCTGACATTTAGTGCAAGGAGATTTCTCAGGAAAGCGTGTGGCCACAAATCCCCTATCCCCTTTGAGAGTCATTTCCTATGTTGGTGATATTGACACAGCCATTAGAAGTCATGGGAACTTCTTGACAAATGCAAGCAATTAATTAGAGATGAGTGCATGAAGGCAGGAACTTTTAAAATGCGCTTCAAAGACAGATTTTTACTCAAGATTAACTAGGGCTAATTAAAAAACTAGAGCAGTTTAGAAAATATAAACAGTTGTTAATGGCAATTTAGAGGATTATGTTTTATCATAATAAATTCCATTAACATGCACCAGAATACCAGATAAAACTTACCATAGGTATGCTAGCACAGTGTAGGAGATGGATCTTGTTTTTTATGGACAGTAATCCAAAAGGAAACATATCAGGTAGTTCAGATTATAGATAAATTCCTCTGTTTTTGTTTAAACGTGAATTCATAGTAAGACAGTCTTCATGTCTAGCGGATGCTTATATACAAAGATAAATGATATAATCAATGTAATACATACAGTATATTAAAATATGCTTTTCTGGCGTACTTTACTCTTTGCTGCTATACTGTTTTATGTTGTTTACAAAGTGTACTTTATATGTTGGTTAATAGCAATATAAATTTTTCACTTTTAGATGAAAGTTCTCCTGCAAATTTTTGGGATTCCAAAAACAGAGGTGTAACAGGAACGCAAAAGGGACAAATTGTCTGGAGAATTGAATCGGGTCCATATTTTATGGAACGTGAGTAAATTTTTTTGACACACTTTGGCTTATGTTTATACTGCAACCTATATTCATATGATCCTTAGCAGATGTTTTGCTACTTTGTACAATCACCGTCAAAGTGGAACTCTGGGCAAAATAGAAAATTATACATATGCTTTCTGTCAGTAGGATTACCACTAGAGTCTTTGCTTTTTTTTTTCCAATAGATTTTTATTGAAATATAGAAAGAGAGAGGGTTATCATAACTGGATTACATCAACCGGATTACATCAATGGAGCCATTTTTAATTTTTTTTTATTAAATGAATAGTAAAAAATTGACTTTTTTTTTTTTTTTTTCAATGAAAGGATTTTTTCTAAAAGTGTGGTTTCTTGATTGACTTTGAATTTTAACCCTTTAGTAAATGAGTAGGGGTACAAGTACCCCGTACTTATTCACAAAGGGGGGCAGCATCTGGGTGCCTCCATAATTAAAGGGGTACCCCGATGCAAATAAGCCCCCTTGCCCGCAGACCACCACAACCACTGGGTCAGGGTTGTGGGGAAAGGCCCTTGTCCTCATCGGCATAGGGACACCCTCCCAATGCTGAGGGCACGTCCCCCCCCTTTCCTGCCCTGCTGGGCCTGTGCTCGGATCAAGGGTCTGGTAGGAATGTTAGGGGTACACCACGTTTTGTCCCCATTTCTGGGGGCTGGGGTTCCCCCTTAAAATTCCTACCAGACCTAAATGGCCTGGAATGGATTTTGGGAACCCCACACACTTTTTATTTTGTTTTAACTTGGGGGGGGGGTCCCTCCTAACATTCCTACCAGACCTAAAGGGTCTGGTATGAATTGGGGGGGAACCTCACACTTTTTTCTTTTCTCTTCTGCAGACTGTAAACCCCCCCTAATGTCATTTTGCTGCAACGAAATTTCATCCACAAACAAAATTTTGTACAGACTACCTACCGCTAACAAAGTTCATCCGAATCCCGAAACCAATTGACTTTCAGACCTGAATACTGTAAAACAAAATAACGCAAAATCCGAATGAAAACAAAAATAAATAATTTTTTTGCCGGTGCACATGTCTAATAACTTGAATATTAAAACATAGAAAAGTAGCCACTGGAGAAGTGGGGCGAGTATAACGTAAAGTGGATGAAGCAGGTGGCAAGCAAGGGAATGCAATGTGGATGGCAAGGGTGGAAGGAAGAAAAAAAGTAAAGAAGAAAAGACAAGAGGGGAGAGAATAAAATGGGGTGTTAGGCAAGGGGGAAAATAATTAAGTACAATACAGTGGCCACATAGGAGAAGGGGCAGAGATGGGAGTGGGGTAATCTCTAGGGAGCACTGTTTGCACCTAAGCAGTCCCCTTTAACCACTTGATGACTGGGGTGTTAAACTCCCTTCCTGTTCAGGCCATTTTTCGGTATTCAGCGCTGTTGTAGTTTAACGTACAATTATTCAGCCATGCAACGCGTTACCAAAATTAATTTTATACCATTTTTTTTTGGGACAGATAGAGCTTTCTTATGGTGGTATTTAATCACCTCTATGTTTTTTATTTGTTATATTAAGCAAAAATTAACAAAAATTTTGAAAAATAACCTGTTTTCCCTATGTTAAGCTATGAAACATTGCACATAAATAATCTTTCTTCATAAATTTCTGCTAGAATGTGTTGGATAGCAAAGTATTGTTTGAAATGGTTGTCACTGTCTCCTCTTCTTTCACAAACGAACAGTGTGAGAGAGATGAGGAAATATCTGGAGACACCAACAATGTTTCCATTTAGTGATCTGCTGTGATTGGTCACAGCGATCACACAGAACAGAGCCAATTGCACTGGCTCAGCACCAATTTGTTTAAACTACACTGTCCAGTGTAGTTTAAACTTGATTGCTCGTGACCGCACTAGGGGACACGCGAGAGCTTAAAAGCATTAAAAAAAGGACATGTATTTATGTGATCCCGCCGGAAGCTGACAGCCGTCCGAATGTGCAGAGGCAGTGGCGGCCGGCAAGTGGTTAAGGGCCCATCCACACTAAAATCGGAAGGAGGGTTCGTTGACTAGCAATTGTACCTTCCGATTTCCTTCAGAGCCATTTTTTTAACGGATGAATACGGAAGGGCACCAAAAAATTAATGGGTGTGACTTGGGCTAGTTCATACTGGCTATGTTGCTTTACATTGCGCTGGAAAAAAGTAGTGCATGTTGTTTTTTTTTTTAACAGAACAGAGCAGTGTGAACTTCCATTAGCCTCTGCTGAAAAACGTATTACAATGCAACAGAACCAGTGTGAATGGGCATTAAAGCGTGTCTAAACCCAAAAACAAAAATTTTATATGTTGCAGCTTACCAGTCACTAAATGATAGTTTACACACCGCAATGACCAAGTCAATTATCACTAAAAAGCTGTGTGTTATGTTCAAGGGTGGCTGCAAAGCAGTGACATGATGTACCTCTTGCTCTAGGTGAGGCATTTCCCAGTCTCGCCCCCAGCACGCCCAGCCCTGCCCCCGCC